CGATGCTCTCTCCGAAGTGAAAACTGATTTTTAAAAACCTAATTTAAAGGAATGTTTTAACGAAAATTTACATAAATGAAAGATATCTTAAGCTTGTTCAAATGAAAAGATGATTTTAAACTAAATGTTAATCTTTGATTCCACGAAATCAAATTCAAAGGAAAACAAAGGAAACGAATGAGAAGAAATTTTTAAAAAAATATATGTATTCTCTCCAAATAAACGAGAAGCCACGTAAAATACTCCACGTGGAAACCATTTTAGATTATTCAGATGGTGGAATCGGTTGAAACTGAAAATATGTCTCCGAAGTTTTTAGGAAATGAAATGAAATGTTGCATAAGGAAAAGTTCAAAAAGAACATAAATGTGCTAAAACTGAAAGAATGCGATGTACGACGTGAAGTTTGAAGTGGTTCACAGTGTTCTGCAAAAAAATGCGAAGGAAAGGTGTGACTTCTCTTATTATCCTTTTTACGGCTATGTGTCAATTGAGTCTTGAAAGGATTTATGATGTTTGATTCAGAAATCGAAAATGATGCGTTGATGTGAGAGAAATGGTTGAATGGGATGAAGCTTAGGTATGAAAGATGAATAAAGAATATCCTTTAATTAGTGTGTACGAAGTGAAGATGAGTACTGAACAGATCAACGATCACAGATATTCGGCCATCAATCACTTTAGCTTGTCGTTAAGCTTCAAACTGACAATACAAATTTATTAAAAGTTTATCATTTGACTGAATTGAAATTCGGGTCGATTCAGATCTAAACGGGTTATGAAGGTGGAACGAAAGACAAATTTCTTAATGGATTAAAGTTAATGTTTACATGACATCATCATATGATCGTTGGGGCATTTTGGAAACTTTCATATCAGCTGTTTTGTCTTTGCAGACTCGTTCGAAGATTCTTCCAATTATTGTTGACATTAGTTATGAGGAATAAAGAAAATGTGGAAGAGAGAGGGAGCGAGAGATGAAGTAGAAAAGAAAATGAACGAGAATAAGGAGAAGTGAAGAAAGAGGAGAAACAACCGCTCTCTGCTTCTGTTTGTTGCGAAATGAAGAGGACTCACTCACGTGTATCACGTGAGTTTGCAACAAAACATGCAAAAATGAAATATACTCTAATCTTCTCCATCACTTCAATGCAATTTTACAGAGAAAGGTCATACCTTCTCCTTTTTTTTTCTCGTCTGCTCTATCATAAAACCTGTCTGAAAGCTATAAGTATTGGCTCCAGATTTAATAAAAAATAGAATTATATATTTATTTTCACATTACATAAAACATCGAATGATCGCTAAGGATGTTTCATTTATCAAAATTACATTTTTAAAATTCCGGATTTTCAAAAAAATGAAACTCAAGAGGGGATTATCGAGGTTTTCGTTTGTTTCATACATCACCACCATCATCCTATTAAATGAGATTCAACACAAATCGTTTTTGTATTTTTTCATTTCTGTGGATTTGTATGACAAAAAAAACATTTTCTGGTTTTTTTTTCGTGTTGAGACGAAAAGGGACTTGTCTATTATCTTCTGAAGCTTATTTCCCAAGAAACATCATGATTTGGTTTATTGTCAGAAGTTGAAACAAGACTAGAGAAAGTCGTTTGACGAGTCAAGCTACGTCACATGTCCATGTAAAGGGATGGGTAGTAGAAGCCCTGAGGCAGAGAAAGTCACATGCGTACTGTCCAAAAAGATAAAAATGAGAAAAGATGTTAAAGAATTCCATAAGCTATAACTTTTATGCTCAATTCCGTAAATGGCGCCTCTTGGGTGTAAAGAAGGACAGGTTAGAAAATGCAAAATGGTAATTGCAAAGAAAGAATTTATTTATTTTTGAGTAGAAAACAGTAAAGGGCTGATGATATGAAATATATTTATTGAAATGATACTTATAGCAGTCAAAATTTAAAGCAAATTGAGAGATTGGCAGAGAGAGACGACGAGAGAGAGAGAGAGAGAGAACAGAAAGGTATGAATCAGCATGATTCTATCGACGATATTTCGCTTGAGGGAAAATAAGACTGTAAATTTGGATAAAAGAAGAACATAGAACGAAAACAAGTGTGTCATCACATGAATACAGAGAGGAGATGATAGAAATAGAGAGGAATGTAAAAATCAGGAGAGTATAAGCATGATAGAGAGAGAGAGAGAGAGAGGGACGGGAGAGATAGAGATAGAGAGACCAGGAAGGAAACTGCACCGTCTGATCCGCGAAAACGGATGCAACAGAAGGAGATTCTCCTTTTTCGCCAAACAAAATTCCTTTAGTTTCTCAAATGACTTTACAAGTGTTTCAAAAGGAGAAGATGTTTTATGCGTCAATGAGGAGAATTACTGAACAAAGAGAGTCCGACTCTTATCATTTCCTTTTGAAAACAAGAAGAAAAAATATTTTTTTAAGCTTTGACGAAAGAAATTGTGGGGCAGTCTTGTTGTAGAAATTGAATAATTTGTGGTAAAAACATTTCAGAATGATGTTTGTCCATATAAGGAAGAGAGGAGATGGTGGAACGTTCTTTTCCTGTTCTCTCTTTCCTCCCTATTTCAGTTTGAAACGAAAAGCATAATTAATCAAAAAAAAATAGGAATGAACTTAATATTTGCGGAGAAGGCAACACAAGGAACCATTTCACCGTAAAAGGCGCAAAAACAGAATTTATGTGAACTTGAGACGGAACAGATGACATGATCGAAAGAAGATTAGCATAATATTTTGTGAAATTTGAAGATTAACATTTCATTTTCGAAAGATTCGACAAATGATCGGTCGTGATCTTTGATAAACTTGAATGAAGTATATGTTTCATAAGCCAGTTGATCTTTTGATTTTTTGAAAAAATTTACATATTCTTACATCATATCTTTCATAAATCAACTACTTATATTCTTTCGATATAATCTGACCCAGACAAGTACAGCACAATAAGCTACCGTAAGGTCAATCACATACAATTGTCTGGGAAATTTGCATAAGAACTATCGCTCTTCACATCACTATTGATAATGAATGAAAACTTTTATAAAACATTGCGGGACTTTCCACGTATAGAAGTCTTACATTCTCTGTTCTGTTCATTCGTATTACTGAATGCATAGAAGGGACTGAAGGCAAAGAGAGAGAAAGAGAGAGAGAGAGAGAAATGTAAAGTGAGAATATCCTGTTGTTTTGTTGTTTTTTTAATTCTCTTTTGAAATTTGTAATTATTATTATCTTCAAAAATTGATAATTAGAAAAGAAAGAATATAATCTTACAAAGCTTATGACGAAAAAAACTGAACAACAAAAGATTGTATTATTATAGTTATCAGTCTGATGTTGAAGCTTGAATAAACTAAACAGGTCATATCTTCATTCGACGTTAGTTAGAAAGTTTATATTTCACGTGATATTTCATGTGAAGAAGAGAAATTTAACGAACACACATGACCATCTTGTTTCTGGTTTAAATCATATGCTTTTACATATATACATATATGTATAGTTAACGAGAAGGGACTGGGCATATCTTGACGTCATCAAACAAGTTAATGGTCACTATCATCGAATGGAATGTTTGTCAAACTTATGAAAGTCTGCTCTGTTAAAGTAAACAAACATTTAAAAGAATTTTCCTTTTCATTATTAAAACTTTTATTTTTTCCATAATTATATTCTCTTTCTCCATATAAGGGAATGATTAATGTAACCTAAGAGAGAGAGAGAGAGAGAGAGAGACAGATTGTAGGAAAGACCGTTCTTTCATTCTTCTCCGAGGCCATCAGATTGGGTTGGTCGGCTGTTTGAAAAATCATTGATTTCACTTCCTTTCTGACGTTGAAAGCCAATTATAAGCACAAGGAAGTGTCAAATAGGGGTAGTAAATCATCTTAACTCTATATGAGACAGTCTTTGTAGGCTTTTAAAACATCGTTTCTTTAAGATATTTGATGTTTTAGTAGGTTTATCAGTTTTCATCATCTGATGAAAATGGAAGACAAAATTTTTAATCAAAATTAACATAAAAGGAGTGGCAAATCAATTCAAATATTGAAATCGCTTCTTCTCTCTTCGTCATCAGCATCATCATCTCTTTCTCTATCTATTTCAACAGGTTTCCATGTTTTTTGATCATTAGCGAAGAAAATCACAAAGACTTTCATGAAAAAATGAGCGTTTTTGTTTATTTTTTTTTCAAAATCCTAAAAAAGCCACGTTGATGATGAAGAGGAGGTGCTGCAGATAACCAAATGACAGAAAAACTTCAAAACTTCTCGGGTTCTCTTTCATTCTTCAGATTTGACCAGCTGTTCCTGTACTGTTTCGGAACGCTTCAACCGGAAAATAGCATTCTGCTGCAATTTAGCCAATAATGATCCGTCTGCTGATCAAAGATCTTTTTCGGAGATTTTCTTTATCAACTCATCCTATTGAAAGACACTTTTGTCATCTCTTCTCTCATTTTCTCATAAACTCTCTTTGAATATTCATATCTCGGAACACTCTCTTCATCACAAAGATTTGGTAACTCTTTGGCAGATCGTATTTCTGTGACGTAGACAAGTCCTTTTAGACTTGTCGTATGACCTAGCAGCAACTGCTCAACAGTTGTTAATAGATACAACTTTATAAAGAAAGGTTGGTGACAGCTTTGATAATATGCTCTCAAAAATAATATTATATTCAGGGATTTTGCTCATGATCAAAGACTTTGCTTGCACGTGCGCCCAAATGTACTTTCAACATTGATCATTGTGTATGATTGTAGTGACCCGCAAAATGATCTGCAAAAGGATGTAAACAAACAAACAAATTCTGAAAGGGTTTTATGTTCGTGTTCCGATAGATGATGATGTTTCTTTTTTATTTGCATTTCATGCGAGTTTCTCGCACAAAAAAACTTTTTGCAATAAATCTGCAAAAATGGAAATGATTAAACTACATCAGTACGATCGAAAGGGTTTATTTGTCCTAAACTGAAAACAATTGGAGGCTATTGTTATTATCCGGCAGCCGTAATGATGGTTTTCCATCTAGCATTGGCATAGTTAGTAAGCGCTGAGTTTGAACTACATCTGTTCATAGGAATAGTTCTATCACGAGGTAAGTGGCCAGGTCCTTGGTGAATATCAGACATGCAATCTCCTACTGAGTTCAAAGTATACAGCTTCGTATCGTATTCAAAGCAATCAGTTGTCAACATTGTTTCTTTAAATATCAAAAACTTGTATGTTCATTAGTTTTCTGTTCCTACGGTTATCCCATTGACGGACGAATGCACGACAGATATTGAGGTGGAAATCCTTCTTCTTAATCACATACTCAACCTAAATATGATGGTAGGTTTTGGAAATTTGGGGTGGTTGAAGCGTACCGGGTAGGTGAATACAAGAGGGAAAGCCAGTAAGAAGAGCAGAAAGTATTTCATGTTGCTATAACTTCCAGATGAGTGAAAGTCTTTATATAGAAGTAGCTGGGGTTATAAAAGGGAATTAAAAGATTATTCAAAAAATGGTATTGAGGTTTAAAAAACGGTTTCAAAAGGATTTGAATATTATTAAACATTATTAAAACTGTTTTTTGATCGTTTCTCTGAATCTGACTGATGATTTGATTAACTTCATGAAGGTCGCTGGCCAGCTTAACTATATCATATAGTTATTATACTCATTTTTTTAATTAAAAAGGTCATTTAACTCAAAAACTTACATACAAAACTTACTGCCATGTTATCAGATTAATTGTTTAATGTAGTCTTTGCCTATATAAGGCAATTACTTTTGTCATTTGGCATGCCAACCATGGATTTACAGCATCGAATTAAAGCCTATCGCTTTGTTGCCTATTCGGCTGTTGCCTTCTCTGTCGTTGCAGTTCTTTCTGTCTGTTTGACTTTACCACTCCTTTATAACTATGTCCACCATGTCAAAAGATCTATGAATAATGAAATCAATTTTTGCAAGGTTCGCCGAATACTTTTCCCAATTCAGCTTTTTTTATTTTTCCATTTCAGAGCTCGGCCAGAGATATCTGGGACGAAGTGAGTAATTTGAAAAACAATCAAAATACAAACAGGACTGCTCGTCAAGCTGGATATGACTTTGGAGTTGCCAGAGATACAGGAGCTCAAAATTCATGTGAAGCCTGCTGCCTTCCTGGACCTCCAGGACCATCGGGTACTCCTGGACGTCCAGGAAATCCAGGAAGACCTGGATCACCTGGTATGCCTGGCAATCCTGGTAGACCACCTCGTCAGCCATGTGATGAAATCACTCCACCACCATGTCAACCCTGTCCAGCGGGTCCTCCAGGACCTCCAGGATTGCCAGGACCAATTGGTGATGCCGGTACTCCTGGAACACCAGGTACTGGAGGAGGAATGGGTATGCCAGGAGAACCTGGACCAAAAGGTCCTCCCGGTACCCCGGGACTTCCTGGACCTATTGGACCTATTGGACCACCAGGAGATGATGTCTCTTCCCTGCCCATTATACCAGGAGATCCAGGAGCCCCTGGAGCACCAGGATTGCCAGGATTGCCCGGAACTCCTGGCTTGCCAGGATTGGATGGACTACCGGGCCCTATTGGACCAAAAGGACCAAATGGAAATCCAGGACAACCAGGACCAGATGGAAATCCAGGAGCTCCTGGAAATGATGGTACTCCTGGAGTTGGCGGAGAGCCAGGAATTTGTCCAAAATACTGTGCCATTGATGGAGGAGTTTTCTTTGAAGACGGAACTAGACGTTAAAACGAAAATGACTTGTATTTCATTTGAAATAAATTTTGATTTAGAAGTTTGATCTTTTTTATTCACAAAACGGTCTTAAAACGAAAGTAATGCAAAATACTTGAAGAAAAGCTTTTGACATTGATAAGAGAATGAATGCCAAGTATTTGCCAAGTTTTATTTACATTTTCTCCTCCTCTGACAACTTTTCAATGAGAAAAATGGAAATCTTGTCCTTTTACCATCTTTGCTTCAATCAATGTGATCGTTTCCTTTGCTGGGAACAGTCTTCTCTTCCTCAATTCTCATGTTGGAATTAAGAAAGGGTGAGTTTGTTCTGTTTCAAATAAAGTTTTTATCTTTTCGATAATTTTACTCTCATCACATACGAAATCGACCTAAATTTGGTTGTTTCTTTAATTCTTTTCAATTATCGATTTATTGATTTAATTTTTTCACGTATGCACGTGAATGTATCCTCATTTTCATTTATAGTTTACATGCGACACCCTGAACGGTTGAAGCTCTTTCTCTCTATCTCTTTCTCACTCTCTCTTACTGCATGTTTCATCTTGTATCTCATACCACTGCAGCTCTTCCTCTTGTTCCTTTTTCTCTATTTCTTTCGACTATTCTTTCTTTCTCGAACCTTTTTTCCATTCAACATCTCCCTATTTTCTCTTTTTGCATTTATCTCATATTCTTTAGAAGATTAAGAAGCTTAGATATCATTTTACATTTTTTTTATTTGAAAGAAAAAAAAACTTCTCTAGAAATATAAGAAGTTAAAGCGAATTCTTTGAACTTTGTAGGGCATGATGATGACATGAAGTTTCAACAAATTGCCTATTCACACAAAAATCCTAATGCTTTTCCTTTTTTTTGCTGCCTGAAACTCAACTTTTTTTCTTTTTTTTGCTCATTTTGATATGCTCATCGCAGTAGATTCTCTCTTTCCATTAGATTTGTTCTTTCTTGACTTAATTCCATTGTGAATGATGGATTAAGCTGTAAGTTTTGGTAAGAAAAAGCATCTGCCTTCCCACGTTTTACAAACTTCCAACATATGTATCTGCTCTATCTATAGGATTATTCTAATTTTTTTCTTTTCTTTAAATAATTCTTCAAAACGATTGTCTCTTTCTCTTCTTTATAAATTAGTTTTTGTTTTCATATGAATGTTTCACTCAACCATCTAATCGAATTCAATCTCATTAGTCTTACAACCATCTTATTCTCATATTTTACATGACTAAAGTTCATTATTCATATAAATGATTATTGAAATTTTTGTTTTTTTTTCTTTATTCTCATGATGATGATGATGATGATCATCCTCGTCTTCATCTGCATCGCTCATGCTCATCCGTTTTGGTATCAAGTGAGAGCCGATAAAAGGAATTTCAATGCAAATTCTTGAGAAACATGCAATGTAATTAACCCTTCTCTCTTTCACCAAATGCTTTAACTGCGGCCACCGGAAATCACAAATACCCTAAGGGCACACTTTCCTTCATCGACATATTTGACATTCAAGACGGCATGTGTGTGTATGTGTGTTGTCATAACTTCTTATGGTATAAAGAAGATTTAAGCTATTTTTGTGACTGAACTTCTTTTTTCATTTCATATGCATTCGAAGTTTGTTAGCAGAAAAGTCTTTTTTGACATTTGAAAGTACATCATCATGATGTCTCTGTCCCTATCTCTCTATCATCCTCACTTGACCCATATGCTCTTCTTGTTTCTGTTTTTTACTTTGTCAACTTATTCACCTCTTTGTTATTGAAATTTAATAAGAGTGAATCACTTGAAACCTTGTTTTTTTGAATCACATGTGCCACGCAGCTTCAGCACGTTCATTTGAATAGATAACTTGCATTAAGCAAGAAGTTTAAACACAATATGTATGTATAGATTGAGAGAATTCTTAAATAAGATTAGGTTGTAATTATTCGTTAGCAATAAGTATCTTCTTAAAGTTAGAGACAATGGCATATTACCTATCAAATGAAGAGATAACTTTAATTCCCTCAGGCAATATTTACTCTTTCCATTAAAGCAGCAACAGTTGGTCAGTCAATGTCCTCATCATCTCATATCCCTTCTTCCATACATTGTTAGCTTCGAGTTTGTCCTGAGTTGCTCAAAAATTGAGCTTTTCCTTCAAGTTCATTAAATTTCAAAGCTCACACACACACACACACAGACACACACACACATAAACAGATATCTTTTTTCAGTTTAAAACTCGAAAGATTATCTTTTACTCTTATCTTCTTCATGTATCAAACAGCTAATTATCGTTTTCATCCAAAACGTAAGTTTCCATTTTCATTTTAAATAATACTTTATCTCTCTCTCTCTCTCTCCCTTATTCTGTTACTCATTCACTCCTCGTTCTCTCCTTCTTTTTCATTTTTTGAATTTTGTTTGTTAAAGTCTTTGTCTGTAATGACAGATTAACATCGATTTTCGTTTCATTTTTGTACTTCAAACATCAAAAAAAAAGTCCTTCAAGTTCGTTTGTCATTGAGCTCATTTGTAAAGATGAGAGAAGGAGTGCTCACGTAAGATCTCACACTCAATCAATACTCCAAAAAATTATTTTATTTTTCATTATCCAAACATGACAATCAAAGTTTTCTAACATTTGCTTTTTGATGAAATGATGCCTTGATTTTCTTGTAAACAGGGGTACTTTTTCAAGTTGTTTCTATTTGCTCATCTTCAATCTTACATACCAGATGTTCCACGTCTTCTCAAAACTTTTACAGAAAATTTCATCATTTTCTTCTTCATTTCTTGCTTTCTTACCATTTTCTTGAGCCAAAACAGTTTTTATCTTTCTTCGCAGTTCTTTCGTACAACCCAACACCCTCCTCCTCCTCCTCCTCCTTCTTCTTCTTTTTCTTTCTATCAATTAGCATAACTGTTTTGTGAATCTTTCACGTTCACGTGATCATTTTATTTTTTATTTGAAAAGACATGCACATCGGTTGCTCTCACTTCCTTTCTCATTTTTCGTTTTCGAAATCTTCTTCTTCTTCTCCTAAAACGTTGTCCATTTAACTTCAAAAAACAATTTTGGAATAATCCATCATTCTATATTCATCAGAATACCTTTGCATCATGTGTAAGCAAAACAAAAATAGAATAAGATAGCTCAATGAGTTTATGAGAGAAAAGTTTAGAAAAAGCATTTTACGCCTTTTTGACTGACTGAGACCAGCTTTTTCCTTCATTTATTAGGCGTTGCAATCCAAAATTGAAGGCTGACTGAGCTTTCACATGTGAGTGAGAGGAAAAGCTAAAAGAATAATGCCCTAAGGGTAAAACGTTGAAACGAAAAAAGAAGTTGAAGCACATTTACTTTTATTGAATAGCCCTGCCCCTAATAGTTCTTCCTTTTTTTTCATTTCATTAATAATGGTCTTAAAACGATTAGAATGATAAGAAATTTCAAAATTTAATCTAATAAAATGATTTTGTGGATGAAACGAAAAGGAATAATGTGGTTTAACATGACAAATCACATGTCATCGGATGTACTGTTGATCGATTTCAAAAACTTTCGTCTCAATGAAATGTATTCTATTCAGAAGACCTTGGAAAGGAGGTCTTTCCCTCACTTTTTAGCTTCTCTCACCACCCTATCACACTCAACACCTTTCCCCTTCTTCCTCCCCCTTTCTCTATCTATCGTCTCTCTCTCTCTGTAACTTTCGCATGAAAACATGAAATCTGGTAAGAATTTTAAAAACTTTTTTTTTTGTTTTAAATTTTATTAAAAACATAAAGAAAATCCTTTTTTTTCTTTTTTGTTTTTTCTGTTTTTTGTTCGCCCAGATTGAGAGAGAAAAAAAACAATTTTTGTTCGTCTGAGAAAAAAGGTTGTGAACGGCTAATTGTGAATGTTTCTTTCAAACACTTTTTTCTTCAGAAACCATGTGAATTAGCTTCTATTTGATATTCATTCTATCAAAAATGTTATTAACTATCATCATATTTGTTGTTCAAAATCATTTTATCGTTTCGATACAAATTCTTTTTTTTTTTCAAAATTTTACTTTTTATTTCCTGTCTGCTCTATGACACTCCCTTAACTATAAAGGGTTTGTATCTCTTGCAAGCAATAAAGAATATGCTTATACAACTACTCTTTCTCTCTCTCTCTCTCTTTTGTTCTTCTTTATTTTTCTTCAATCTCCCTCCCTATTTTTCTCTCTCTCTAAAGATACAGAAATCTCTTTTTCTCTTTTTACGAACATTCTATCATCTCCTGTCTCCCACACGTTCACTTGATGATTCAGCTACGGGCAATGCATTTTGTTCTGTTGAATGTTACCATCTCTCATTTCCTTCCTTATATTTTTTCCATAACTTTATCTCTCATTTGCTTGAATAAAATTTTTGTGGAAAACTCATGAAGCATGTCCTTCCTTCTTTTTATAAAGTATTTTCAAGTTTTTCAACCTTTTCCTCTCAAAAATGTTTTACTATGTATTACGTCATCATTTCATATTCTTTTCATTAATTTCTCATGAAATATCTTCTTTTTCAACAGCTTTTTTTGCTTTTTTCCATCTAAGAATGCAAAAAAATGTTTTCATCATCCCAGCTAGATGCTCCATCATCATCTTCTTCCTTCGTTCGTTTATGAATCAGAAACCATTTACTTTTCTGTAAATAATTCTCATTTTCAAATTACCTTTATATTCACTTTTTTTCTTCTTTTATTTATTCATACAATCATCTACTCTAAATCCACGTGAAATGCGTGAGCTTTCATCTAAGTCTCATTTTTGAACTTTCGTTACGCGCGACCGGTTGTTCCTCAATTAAACACTCTTCCTCTTTCTCTTTCTCTATTACTCTCTCTCTCACTCTCTCTACTTTCCGTTTTTCTTCTTTTAATTTCATTTTACAATAAAATATCCATTTTTTAACCATATCATATCAATATAATAGTTATCAATAGATATTTGTTTAACAGCTGTTCAAGTGACAGTTTACACATATTTGGACAGTTTTAACACGAAAAGCCATCTAGAGGAGGCTCAAGACTTTGTGTTTCTCCCACGCAATCCTCTCCCTTCTCTTCCAATCTCTTTCTCTCTATCTTCTCCTCTCTTTCTCTCTATTTTTCACTTTTTATTGTATAATCTGTTACTCTGTTTCTCTTCTTCTCTTATATGTATTTTCCTCCTTCTTTTTCGCTCCCTGTAGTCTTATCATCGGTTAATCCTTTTACAACTTGTGCTACTTGCTTTATCAACTTCAACAGCCATATGTCTTCTCTGACTAATTCTTTGTTCACATGGGCTTTCCTCCTGAAGGAAAAAGAGAAATTTCATCTCTTTCCTTCTTGAGCTGAATGTAATATAAACATATCTAGCTTCAATTCACTTGAAGCTACTTCTTTTTCTTCCTTCAAAATCTTTAAGAAATAATCCTTTCATTTCAATTTTCTCAATCAAATATATTATTCGCACAACATTTCATTTGAAGAAATATCAAATGTAATGCGAATGTTTAACGGAACGGTTTGAATGCATTGTCTGACATCTTTTTGACCATAAAATCTTTTAATTTTTTTTCCTTTTTCGGTCATTCATTCATCCGTGTGATCATTCTTTATAAAGACTTGATATTTGACTTTTATGGAAAAGCAAGACGTTGATAGAGGACGCTGTGAGCGGCAATAACATGGGTAGTGGCTATTTTAGCCTTCAGGGCATTTGCTGCTCCGCCTTCTCTACTTCTTGCTCTTCTCCACTACTTCTACCCCCTGATTCGCTTCATACTAAATCTGTTAAACAAACATTTCTTTTCTCTCTAAGAGAAACAAAAAAAAAAGTTCTTTTCCCATTTTTTTTTTGCTGTTTTCACTTCATTTTCTATTCAGCACCCGTTCCCTGGCACAGTGCCGTCAAGCAGTTAGCTCGTGGTGTGCCTGGTTCTTCATTTGGCCCGACGTCATCTGGATCTTTTTTACCGGCAAACAGTCAACAATCTAGGATCGGCATGTCATCGCTTGTTCAACCAGCACAACTTCAGTTTGAAAATTTCAAACAAGATGCCCCAAATGTGGATCTTGAGGGTGGTCGTTTGCTCGGAGTAGAAGAGGTAAACATCTTGAAAGTTTTGAAAGTTTTGCTCTCTCTTTTAAGCACGAAGAAATTGATACAGACGGTTGGCGACAACGTGTTTACACATATACCATCTTGGCTGCTGATGGATGTACAGAAGTAACTAAAACAATCCGAACCAAAGTATGAATTCTGAGACTCATGACTAACATAACTATCTTCTTTTAGATTAAACTAGATTGCACGAGTATGTATAGACGACTTCAAGTAACAAACGGTGTTGGTGAGAAAGATTTAGTTGTCGTTTTTCATCTTTTTTTTTCTATTCGTAGAGGCCAAAGTTGAAGAAAAATGTGAACGAGTTGTTGGAGATATAAGAGGTCTCGGTCCAGTACAAAACCTCGGTTATAACCAGAGAAAACTTACTCTTGATCCAAACGATGCTCAGGTTATAAAATAGAAAGAAGAATTTTGAATGATAAGGGGGTTTACAGGATAAAGCAATATACGATACATTGGTTGAAGTGCCAGAAACTTTCAAAAAGTTGTTGAACAAGGAACAAGACTCTTTCAGTTTGTTTTATAAGGAAGTTCAGAAACTAAACGAATGCTTTAAGTGAAACTATTTCCTGATTTATTTTCTAATAATTTGAAAACCAAGTCAACGTTGTTTCCAATACAGAATACAGAGCTGATACATAATGATGATGGAACAACAACCCGAAGAACTCGGAGTAGTAAAAGCTATAGGTGTGTTTCTTTGTATCACTGACAAACGGTGTAGACAGATTGAGAGAGAGAAATGGTAATAGAGAATGATTTTTATTTCAAAGAGAGAAAGAGAGAGAGAAAGAGTAGAGAAATTTGCATAATCCTCTTGGTAAAGACAATTGATGATTCAATCGATCTGAAAAGTTTTTTGAAAAAAAGGGCTTTGATGAGCGTTGACAAATTGTATTTTAGTCAATCATATTCTACCCAAGACGTCTATATTAATGGAGTTAAGCAAGATCAGATGAGTCAACGACGATTCCGAGCTTTTGTTGAATATAAGGTAAGCGTTTTATAAAATCATTTCTATTTCTTACTCCTCCCTCAACTAGCTCTCTCTCTTCATTTGTCTTACTTCGTGGACATCAGAGAGAGAGACAGAGGGAGTAGAGAGGAAGGAAGAAAAGGGTTCATGCTACAAGATACATTTTCTCAAGGATTATTTACTCATTGGACATAAAGGAGCAAAAATGTCTTTTTTCTCTTTTTTTGTTTTTTCTATCATGCGTGTATTAATCTGAGACATCAGTCACTAGTGAACAGAAAAACACAAAAGATTCGTTCGTTTATAAGACGTTTTTCAGGGATCGGATTATGGTTTTCGAGTGAAAGTGAGTGATAATGCTTCAGATGATCTTTCTGAAGATGAAACTGAAGATGACGATAAGACAAGCAGGTTTTTATTATTAATTTTATAATTAGTATACCTAATTACTACCAGAACTCATTCGGAGCTGACAGATGCTGACAGTGATGTGATTGGTCTTGGAAATGTTGCCCTACGTCCTGAGGTCAAAAAGCGTCATGAAAGAGCTTGGTTTGCAGCCAAAGAACTCATTGATAGTGAGCAGCGTTATGTGGAAAAACTGCGTTTGCTAGCCGATGTTTGATAACCCCATCATACGCAATGAATAAAAGTCGATTTCTCTTCAGATATTCCTGAAGCGAGTAGCAGAAGAGAAGATTCTGGATAAAGACCGTTTGCATAAGCTCTTTGCAAACATTTCTTCTTTATATCAGTTCCATAATACACATTTCTTACCACAGTTAATGGAAGCTGGAAGAGAATGGGAGCACACTAAAAGGTAAAAACCATTCAACCGTTTATATGATCTGACAAAAGAAATTAATGGAATGTTTTGGTTAAACTTTGAGTTGTCTGTACTTGGAAAAGCTTTTTTTTTTCTCCACAAAACTTTTCCATACATGCTTTTAACATCATTCATGAAAGAGATTCTGACGTTTTCCCCTAAGGGCAGGCAGGAAGCAATCGTCTGTTTAAAAATGTGTGTCTGTGCTTTTGCAAAGAAGAAGGCAGAATGTCAATGAGTTGCAACTACCTAGGGGATTTTAGATGAATTGATGTTAAGCAAGCAGAGAAAAAAAGATTTTAATGTGATAATCTATTAATAGATGCGTCCTCCTTCTCATTACTTGACGATGATATTGGACAAGTTTGTTTGTGAGACGTAATTTGAAATATTAAATAAGAATGAAATTGATGTGATCTTAAATGAATTTTCTTTACGAAGTTTTGAACAAAGATCATTCAAAAGAAATGTTTGTTTGAAGAAAATAAAAATCTTCAAAACTTCCGAATAAACAACAACAGATCGTTAAAGATCGGATGTTTTTTTGTGATTAAGCTCTCTTCAGACAATTATGGAATCAGTTAGAGAACAATCATTTTCGTTTCAGAATTGCTAATGTTGTTAGAAAACAAGCTCCATTCCTCAAAATGTACTCGGAGTATACGAACAATTATGATCGAGCTACTAAAATCTATGAAGAAGCAAAGAAGAAGAAACGCTTCGCAGAGATTGTTCATGAGATTGAGGTTTGTACTTTTATGAAATTGTTTATAAAGCAATTCACAAGTCAAAAAAATACCATAATAATCCTGATGTTTAGCTTAAAATTATTTTTTACAAATGTCTTCTAAGCTATGCTAATTTAAAGTTTTTTTTCATTTTTGCAGGAACTTCCTGAGTGTGAAGGATTACCACTTGGCCATCATTTGATTTGTCCCGTTCAACGAGTTATGAGATATCAGTTACTGCTCCAGGTACTTACGAGACGTTCTCCGATTCAGCTCATCAAGAATATTAAGGAATATAAGAAATATATGGCTGATACTGATGTTGATTATGATGACACTACAGTAGCTCTTCAATTAGTTTTGCAAGCTGCCACACACGCGAACGAGATGATGAAGAAGCTGGTAAAAAAAGATTTTACGATATCGAATAGTTTTGTTTGCTTTTGCAGGAACGATTCGGAAAAGTGATAACAGTGCAGGAAGAATTGGGTAACTCCATTTCTTTAGTTTCACCTGGACGTGAACTTCTACGACAAGATGTTATTCAAGTATGACAAAAGTTTCTTATTATTATAACTACCCATTTACTTTAGAAAATATCTTCAAAAACCGAAAAGCCGGAAGAAAGAACTCTGTTTCTGTTCAATGATTTCATATTGCTGGCAAGCGAAAGACGTCTTGGTATGGGGAGGTATAGACTTCGAGCAGTTTTCCACCCCTGTCATACACAGGTTTCTTTACTTTTTGCACAGAAGTTTTGAAACAGTTCATGTCTTGAGGTATGTGAAGGAGACAATTTGGAAAGGGAACACTCATTTTATCTGAGAGGTTCTGATGGAAACGGACCACAACGTTGCGTTGAATTATTCTGCGGTTTGCAATTTTTTTTTTCGGTTCATTATCTTGAACTTTCAGATAATTCTTCCTCCAAACAGGAATGGGTTGAAGCTTTATGCAAAGTGATTGATGATTGTCGAGCGAATTCGGCAACTTTCAGTGGAAGTCAGGTAGAAACAAATTTTCCTTGTCTTTGCATCAATATAACGAATTCCAGAGGTCCAGTCTCTGTGAGGCCAATAATAATAGTAAAGAATCCAAAAACTGTGCTGATTGCGACTCTGAATTTAGGTATGAATAGTTACCCTTTCTCAATTATCAATCTGTTTGCTTCAGCCTCTGGTCTCGAGGAATAAAATGTGGAAAGTGTAGAAGAAAGTTGTGTAAGAAATGTTTTGGACGTTATCGTACAGAATCGAAGAACAGTCGAGTCTGTGAAAATTGCGTTAAGAATACTGTGAGTTGACAAAACAGGACTAGAAATATAAAGATATTTGAAGGGTACTGAAAGCCTTATCAGATCTCAATCAACATTTTCTGCAGCTCGTCAGAACCTTCTAGCTGTTTCAGCTAAAGGGGAAGGCGTTTTACACTCCGGATTTGTTAAAGTCAGTCTGAACCAGCATTTTCATTCTTATCAAAATAATTTCAGTTCCGCGGAAGCCTTGGAAAAACATTTGAACGATATTTCGTTGTCCGGAATGATTTCTGTCTTTATTCTTATAACTCTCCTTCGGTAAATGCTTCAATGTAGAAATTCATTATTCATAACCATTTCATTACAGGATTCTCATGCTTTAGTAATGCTACCCTTACCTGGAAGCGTTGTGAGGATGTGTGGAGAGCCTTACACTTTCTCATTACGAATTGGAACACGCCGACAGTACACAATTACTGTTGAAAATGAGGATCATCAAACAAAATGGATGGCTTTATTGGATTTAACTTCAAATGCTCAACTCAATAACTCATAGTGATTTACATCCAACCGTATCTCGTCAGAACTTCTTCTTTTTACAAAAAGAATAAGAATTCTGTTTTTATCTTCTCCGAATAATCTCAAACACTATGTAAATGACTATCTGAATTCCATTTCAATCTTCTTCTCAAAGTTTTCCATTCGAAACATTCTGCTCTTTCCTGCAACTCATCGTGACCCTTTTCATATCCTGTCTTCTCTTAAGCCCTCATAGAGTTTTCTAGTCCACTCAAAACTTTTGAGATTTATGTGTACATATTAAAAATGTAATTACAACAGTTCATAATAAACTATTATTTTTTTGTTCCGTAGAACCACATAGGGAGGATGCTGAATGCTTATGTTGTAGTTTTATTTCTGCTCTTTAAAGTTTGAACTCACTCTTTTGAATAGTTCAATCAACTTGTGTGCCAATGATTTCAGTAGAGTGAGAACACAGAAACGAAAGCGAACAATGGTTTCAGTTTCCTGCGCTGTTGTCTGAACTTTCTATAATTCCTTCGATATGTCTGTATGATAATACGAACACACACAAGGGGCAAGTCCAGTCAATTATTTTTCTAAATATCATTTGGCTTCCTGAATTTTCTTTCATAGACAGAGCTGTCATGTTCTATATTTTACTACTGGAGATAAGTTAGAACAGCACAGCTAACAGCGCTATCCACGTCAGAAACAAGAAGTGTATATCAACACTCACAAGACGTAGCTTGTGTAGAATTAGACAAATGATTGAGACGTTCACAAATTGACAATCCCATTCAGACTTTTCTGTATTTTTCGGTAAATAATAATCTCAGGGTGAAGATGTAACCTAGTCATAGTTTATAATTTCCTTCCGTGTCTGTATATCCTTGTGAGCGGTTGTGCAATAACTCATCAGACAATCAACAATCATCTTGGGTTTGCTTACATATATATTTGATTAT